AGCGTGGTGCTGACAACACCAAGTCAAGGGTTAAGATCCCCTTACCGGTCATCTTTTAAAAAAATAAATAAATAAAAAATAATAAATAAATGTAGCTATTAGAATATTTAAAAGTACACTTGTGGCTCATGTTATATTTCGATTGCGCAGGGCTGGTCTAAAAAAAAAATACTAATCTTTCATAATTTGTTGACACTTGCTTTGTGTTCCAGGCTGTGCTCAATTTTCATATATGTTATATGTATAGTTGAAAAGTATATGTATTCTCTAGTTGTTAGGATCAATGTTCTCTCTATATATAGATACACACAGATTAAGCTTAATTATTTTCATTAATTGTTTTTATTCTTGATGATTATTTTGTCAGCTTGATTTATTAATAGATACATGAAATTTTCTTGCTATAATGGTGTCTTTTTTCTTATAGTTTTACCAACTTTTCCTTACATTTTTTGAGATTATCTTATTAGATGCCTATGAGTTGAGAGTCGTTATAGCTCCCCGGTGAAACTGCTTATCATTATGTAGTAAGGTCTTTGCCTGTAATTATTTTTTGCTTTAAAGTCCGTTTTATCTGATGTTAATATAGCAACAGAGCTTTATTTTGGTTGGTATTTTCCTGTTTACATATTATTCCATTTTATTCTTTTAACCTTTTTGCATCATTATGTTTTAGAAATAGGTATTATAAATACCTAATAATTGGATTTTCTTTCTTTAAAAATCTGATAATTTTTGTATTTATCTGAAGTGTTAGTTTATTTACATGTGTTGTAGTTACTCACTTATTTTCATATATTCCTACCATTTTATTTTGTGCTTTGCATGTGTTCTGCATTTCTGTACTTCTCTCCCTCCTTTTGAATTGATTATTTTTTCTCATTCCTTTTTATACTTCTAGTAGTTTAGAAGTTTTCTACACCTTGTTTACATTTTTTTGGTTGGTTCTCTTAGAATTTTTTTTTTTTTTTAAAGATGACCGGTAAGGGGATCTGAACCTGTGGCCTTGGTGTTATCAGCACCATACTCTCCCAAGTGAGCCAACGGCCGGGCCCCTCTTAGAAATTTTAACATGAATACCTAACCTATCAAAGTATAAAGAGAGTTAAGTCTTTATCTTCCTCTGAAATGAGGTAAGGATCTTGGAGCACTCTAATTCCAAGCATGCAGCTTCCCAGCCTGTGTGTGGTTGTTATCCAGTAAATTGGTTCTTTTTTGTTTTTTAGTCCCACAAATTACACAGTTATTATAGTTTTGTACAATTAATATTTGTTTAGATTTAACAACATATTTATCATTTTCTTTGCTCCAAATTTCTCCTTGCATCTCAGCCTTTCCATCTGGGATCATTTTTCCTTCCTTCTGCCTCAAGTTCAACTTTTAGCATTTTGTTTATTGAACAAAATAAAATTATCAAGAAAAACAGTATCTCTCTTGGTTTTCTCTTTAATATCTTTATGTCTTCCTTCTTCCAGAAAAATATTTTGTCTGGGTCTACAATTGATAGTCACTTTCTTTCAGCACACTGAAAATATTCTATGTTTTGCTTTTCATTATTACCATTGGAAAGTTAGCTGTTAGTCTAATCAACATTCCTTTATAGATGAAATGTCTTTTAGTGAGCAGCATTTTTCCATAGTGGTTGAAGGTATGGCCTCTGGAATCAGACTGCCTGGATTTAAATCCCAGCTCTTTGGTTTCCTAGCTGTGTGACACTGGGCAAGCTGATTAACCTCTCTGTGCCTCCATGTGCCCACTTTCCTCTTCTTTTTTTTTTTCCTTTTTGTCTTTTTTCGTGACCGGCAACGGATCGCAACCCTCAGTGTCGCGCCCGTACCGGACCGGGACCGGCAACGGGATCGCAACCCTCGGTGTTGCGCCTGCACCTCGCTCAGCCAGTGAGNCTCCAAGAGTTTTTTTGTAGAGGCTTTAGGCTGTTCAGTATATAGGATCATGTCATCTGCAGAGAGGGATAATTTGACTTCATTTTTTCCAATCTGGATGCTCTATATTTCCTTCTCTTCTCTGATTCCTCTGGCTAGTACTTCCAACAACTTGTTGAATAAGAGTGGGTATCTTTGTCTAGTTCCTGTTCTTAAAGGAAAAGCTTTCTGCTCTTCCCCATTCAGGATGATACTGGCAGTGGGTTTATCATAGATGGCTTTAATTATGTTGAGATACTTTCCATCTATACCTAACTTATAGAGGGTCTTTATCATGAATGAATGTTGAATATTATCAAATGCTTTTTCAGCATCTAGAGAGATGATCATATGGTCCTTGTGTTAGATTTTATTGATATGGTGTATCACATTTATCGATTTGTGTATGTTAAACCAACCTTACATCCCTGGGAAGAATCCCACTTGATCGTGGTGTATAATTTTATGTATGTGTTGCTTTATTCTGTTAGCTAGTATTTTATTGAGGATTTTTGCATCTATATTCATCAACGATTTTGGCCTGTAGTTTTCTTTTTTAGTTGTATCTTTACCTGGTTATGGTATCAGGGTGATGTTTGCATCATAGAATGAGTTTGGGAGATTTGCCTCTGTTTCAATCTTTTGGAATAGTTTGTAAAAATTGGTGTCAATTCCTCTTTGAATGTTTGATAAGATTCTGCTGTGAATCCATCTGGTCCTGGGCTTTTCTTTGTTGGGAACCTTCTGATAACAGCTTTAGTCTCTTTTATTGTTATTGGTCTGTTCAGATTTTCTACGTCTTCTTGGCTAATTTTGGTAGGTTGTGTGTGTCTAGAAATTTATCTATTTCCTCCAGTTTTTCAAATTTGTTGGCATATAGTTGTTTAAGGTAGTCTCAAATGATTTCTTGTATTTCAGATGTATCAGTTGTTATATCACCTTATTCATCTCTAATTTTTGTTATTTGTATCCTCTCTCTTCTTTTTTTACTTAGTCATGCTAATGGCTTGTCAATTTTATTTATCTTTTCAAAAAACCAACTTTTTTTTTTTTTTTTCCCCTTTTTGTCTTTTTTCGTGTCCGGCAACGGATCACAACCCTCAGTGTCGCGCCCGCACCGGACCGGGACCGGCAACGGGATCGCAACCCTCGGTGTTGCTCTCTCACGTCGCTCAGCCAGTGAGTCCCTCGGTGCTGCGCCCGCCCCTCGCTCAGCCAGTGAGTGGGAACCGGTCTGTATGTGGGATCTGAACCCTCGGCGGGAGCGCCACCGTGCTCCCAGGCAGCGCACTGTAGCAGTGCGCCTCCGGGCCGGCCCGGAGCGCCGCCGCACTCCCAAGCGGCGCACTGTAGCAGTGCGCCACCGGGCCGGCCCCCACTTTCCTCTTCTATCAAATGGGGGCAATAATAGCACCAGCACCTACCTCACAGGGTTGTGGTGAGGACTGAATGAACTAATACGTAAAGCACAACAGTAGTAGCACATTTTAAGTGCTATTAAAGTGTTAGTTATTATTTTTTCTTTTTATGCTTTTAGGATCTTCTTTAGGTGTGGATTTCCTTTTATTTATCCTGTTTGAAATTCACTGAGCTTTTCAAATCTGTGAATTGCTCTCTTTTATCAATTCGGAAAATTCTTATCCATATATCTTCTCTGCCCCATTCTCTCTCATCTCTCCTTCTGGAATGTTAGATTAATTAGCCCTTTTCATGCTATCCTTTGTGTGTCTTTGGCTGTGTTTCCCAGTCTCTGTGCTGTGAATATTCTGGATAATTTCTTTAGATCTATCGTCCAGCTCACTAATTTGTTTCAGCTGTGTCTAATACACTATTAAATCTATGCATTAGAATTTAAAATTTTAATTACTATTATTATATTTTTCACTGCCAGAAGTTGTGTTTGGTTCCTAACCAAATCTGCCTGGTTGCTTTTTATAGATTTTTGCCCTTCACTCATATGTTTGACTCCTTCTTTTATTTCTTTAAATATATTATGCATACATATTTTGTATTCTGGTCTGAAAAGTCCAGTATCTAAAATCTTTGCTCGTCTGATTCTCTTGCCCATAGTTTTGGAGCCTAATAATGCTGCTGTAGGGACCCCTGAGACAGGGACCAGCCAAAAGGCTCTACACTGTAAAGGGCTAATCTTAATATCTTTCCTGCCCCTTGTCTTCCCTGATGTACCCTGTTTTCTTTTTTCTCCCCCTTTCTCAATTTACTTTTCTGAAAGGCTAATTCATTCCCATGGTTAAGAAAAAGTGAAAAGTCTTTTTCCCAACACCCAATCCCTTCCCTACCGGCAGCCTGGGTTATTAGATTCTTGTGTATACTTCCAGAGATATTTTATACATATTTAAGCAAATACAAATTTAAAAATTCCTTCTCTCTGTAACACAGATGGTAGCATACTACACTTATTGTTCTGAACTTGTTTTTAATAAAAAATATGTTTTTGATTATAGGAGAAATGCATTCGAATTTTGAATAACATAATACCCGAGTGTCTACAAGTAGAAAGTGAAAGTCCCCCTGGAATTTCATTCCCCAGAGATAACCTCTATTATGCATCTATAAATATATATTTACATAAATGGCCTTATGCAATAGACATTGTTCCATAACCTATTTTTTAAAAAAATTTTTTACTTTTTCTCCTAACAATATGTCATAACATCTTTCCATGAATCTTTCTACGTTTCCACATAGCCCAGTAGTTAAGTGCTTGGGCTTTGGAGTCAGACAGAACTAGGTTCTTATACTAGCTCTGCAGCTTAGTAGCTATAGGACTTTTAGATCCTCTCTAAGCATCAGTCTTCTCATCTTTAAAATGGGGATAGAAATAGTAGGTATCTCATGGTGCTGAGATCTTAATAAGATCATGTGTGATGTGCTTCCTCTGGGGCCAGCTGCTTTGTGTGCCCCCAGTGAATAATGGTTTTTATTATGACTCCCTCACCATTTTTAATGGCCACATAGAATCCATAGTACGGTAGAGTGTCTTCTTGTTGTGAATTCCTTGCTATGAGGTTACTGGGTCCTCTGGATTCTAATCTCTGCCTCTTTTTTCTCCTCAAGGAGGAAGTGAAAATGCCCCATGGGGTGAAGCCTGTGTGTTATGTAGGTTTTTACTTTTTATTACTACCTTTCTTTCTCCCTTTCCTCAGGTGTGGTAGGGTGGGAGGGGTCCTCCACAGTAGAGGCAATCCCAGCCTCCCTGGCCTGCTCTGCTGCAGTGCATCGGAGTACTCCCCTCCCCCATGATGTTGAAACTCAGACTTCCAGTTTCCCCCAAATCTTGGAACCTGACCATTCCATGATGTCAATGATTGGTTTTCAGACTCGCTTGCTTTCAAAACAGTTCCCTGAGGTTTGCAATAAATTAAAAGAATGGAAACACTTAAAATGGGATAAAAGTGTAAAGAAAGCAAGAAAAGGGGAAGGAGAAGGGGAAATCTTGTTACAACAACCCTTCACCCTCTACCAGTCCTGGAAAGGTACAACTGCTAGACTCAAAGTTAACACTGGGCTTCCTGGCAGCCATAGCAAAAAGGGGGGCAGGATAGATTCTGCAGCTCATTAGAAGACCAAAAACTACTCTGCACCTTGAAATGATCATGAAGGGATTTCTCTTAGGGGCAATAGAGGGGTGATCAGCAGCCTTAGAGAGGGGGCAATGGCTGCATGCGGCTGCTTCAGGGGAGGGGCGAAGAGCAAGTCAGTGACCCCTGAAAGGGGCATGACAGAGTTTTGAGCAGGAGGAGGTGGAGTCAGAACAGGGTGTGCCCCTCCTGATGAGATGTATCTCTGGTCAGAAGGAGGGTGAGAAGATCCTGCTGCAGGGTCCAGTTAACTCTGAATGTGGCTGGGTGTTAGAGGCGGAGGCCAGAGGATGGGAGTGAAGACCGGCTCCTCTCTTGGGACAGAGGCCCAGCAGTCGGCAAACATTTATTGAACCCTACTATGTGCCAGGCCTTTCTCAGACACTGGGAATACAATGGGGACCAAGACAGGCATGATCCCTGTCCTCATGGAACTTACAGTCCAGTGAGGGAGAGAGACGGTAAACAGTCTGGGGGGGTGAGCACTCTGAGGGGGAGGGTGGCAGCCTGCGCTGGTTCTGAAGTGCTCCTCTGCCCTAGGGGAAGGTCGGTTCTGGGGCCGTGATCCAGCTCCTGGGGACCATCAGCTACAACCAGGCAGGCGGGCGGCAGTTGCTGAAGCTGGAGGCTCTGGAGGACTTGGAGATCAGCTCACCCTCACCTTCCCAGAGGTTCAGAGGGAAGGAAAGACCCATAGCTCGGGGCTCTGCTGGGTGTCAGGTACGGAACAGATTTCTTTATGTAGGCCATGTCACTAATCCTGCTGAGAGCCACCTTCATGCCTGATTCACAGAGATGTCACTGAGGCTTAGATGGTGTGGCTCGCTCACCATCCCATAGAAGAATAGCCAGAGGCAGGGTTAGATCCCACCTGGCTGGCGGGCCTGGGCTCCTGTGCACTTTCTTCTGCACCACTGAATTCAGAAGCTTGACTATGGGAGGGAGGGGCTGGGCCCCCAGTGCATTTGGAGAGGAGCAGTCCCAGGCCTTTGTTTCTGGCATGTCCTACTGCCCCAAGATTTTGCAGCCGCCTCCTTTAGGAGGCACAGCAAGGGACTCTGGTGACCTCTCTGACCACTTCCACCCTCCAGGAAGCCATTCCCTGTCCCTCAGGGACCCCACCTCTGATGCTGAGTGCTTCTGAGTGCTTCACAGGGGTGAGTGCTTCTGCACCTGCCACCTGGCCTCCACTGCAGCATGGGTCAGGGGAACGTGGGAGTGTGGAGTGATTGCAGAAAGCAGTGTCCTCTTGGGCCAGAAGGCTGGGCCCAGGGGCACAGCCTCACTTTCTCACCCCTCCCCCACAGCTTGGCCCAGTGGAGGCTGAAGAGGAGAAGCCTCTCCAAGCGGGGGCAGAGGACTCAGGTGAAGGCCATGGAGGGTGCCCCTCCTGTCTTCCAGAGACTACTGGGGACTGGGGAGGATTCGGGCCCAGCTCTGGCTCCAGCCCTTGCTAGGACTCCTCTCTTCTCCCCTCATTATCGTATAGTCTTTCCCTGAAGGGGTGGGGGCTGCTGGCTGCCTGGGCTCGGCTCCCTGACAGATGTGGGGACCTGGGTCCCTGAGGGTGGGACCCTTGCCTTGTCTGCCTGAGCCCATCAGCATTGAATCTGCCCCCTCCCCATGTCCCTGGGCACCCCTGGGAGCCTGTGACTTTCTCCCCATAGCTCGACTTCAGCTTCGACAGGAGAAGCTACCCCTGGGAATCAGGATACGGAGCCGTGTGGTCCGTGCCCTGCAGAAGGTGCTGTGGAGTCGGTGAGGCTTTGCCCCCCACTTCCCTGACGTCCTGACAGGCCACCCTCGTACACCACCACCTCCCAGGGCCATGCCATGTTCTCAGGGCTTCTGCATGTATGACTCACCCCATCTGGTAGCTGTGAGGTCACTTGTCCACACAGCGAACCAGTGGGGAGCTGAAACTTGAACCTGTTTCTCTCTGGCTTCAAGGTTGTGCCTTCCCACTAAGCTACTGCAGCTCTCAGCATCTGCTCAGGTCCTCATGGAGGGGTCCTGCGGCAAATGCTTTCAAACACAATGAGAGTCTGTGTTGGGAGCGTCTCAGAGATGTGATCCCAGGACTCTCAGTTAGTCATGGTGAGACCAAGGCCCAGAAAGGGCAGGACTTTGCAAAGGCCACACAGCAAGTCATTGGCAGATTGAAGGTTACATTCAGGACCAGGGCTTTGTCCCCTTCCCTGACTGATGCCTCACCCTCCACCCCGGCTTCCTCCCCTCCACACATTCTCTGGTTCCACTGGCCAGGGATTGAGCAGGGGCCAAGGAATCGGATCGATCTGGATTCACATTTTTTGTTTGTTTGTTTTTTGGCGGCTGGCTGGCACGGGGATCTGAACCCTTGACCTTGGTGTTATAACATCACACTCTAACCAACTGAGCTAACCTGCCAGCGCTAGATCCAAATCTTGCTTTGCCACAAATCACATGGCCTTGGGCAAGCCCCTTATTTTCCCTGAGCCTCAGTCACCCCATCTGTCCATGGAGAATGCTAATATTTCTTCCTCACAGAGTTGGGGTGGGAATAAATGGGTTCCTGTCGGAAAAGCCCAGAACACAAACAAGTTGGCCCAGACCCTGCTCCCCACACCTATATCTCCCTCTGAGGCTAAGTACCCAGAAGACCTCACCGGCTCAGTGCCCCTGACCCCACCCTTGCCCTCCAGCGTCCAGGAGCTTCCAGAGCAGCTGCTGAGTGAGGAGATGGTGGAGGACGTTGCTGCTGGCATCGAGGCAGCCCTCTTCGACCTGACACAAGGCACCAACTGCCGCTACAAGGCCAAGTACCGCAGCCTGCTCTTCAACCTGCGTGACCCCAGGAACCCAGTGAGCTGGGCTGTGTGCTGGGCTGGGCCTGCCCTCCCAGGCGGCGGAGTCTGGCTGGAAGTTGGAGCAGTGTGGTGCAGCCCCTGCCCCCTGCCCCTGCAGGACCTGTTTCTCAAAGTGGTTTGCGGCGATGTCACCCCCCATGACCTGGTGCGGATGAACTCAACCCAACTGGCCCCCCAGGAGCTGGCCTGCTGGCGGGACCAGCAGGAGAAGAGGGTGAGCTGTTGAGCCAAGTCAGGACAGGTGACAGGACATGAGGGGAGACGGTGGTCCGAGGATGGAAGAGGGAGAGACGGAGACAGTGGAGGGAAGAGGAAGATGGAGAGAAACAGGCGCAAGGAAACAGAGAAAGAGAGAAGGCAGACAGGGAGAGAAGAATCAGAGAGACCTCGCCACATGAGAAATAGGAAGAGGAAGAGGTGAAAGGGAGTGGGGACAGAGAGCTCAGTAGAGACGTGACACCCTTGGTTTTCTGTGGACCTGGGCTGTGTGTGAGGGTGGGGAGGGAGAGGACCGAGGTGACAGTCCAGAGTCTGGAGTCCAGGGTGGTCATCAGCCATCCATGGGGCTGGAGGTCTTCCTGGTACCCCAGGCTGAGTGAGGGCCCTGCCCCTATAGGACATTGTTATGTCCGTGTGTACCCTGTGTCCAGGGGTCTGTCCCTGCCTGGGAACTGTCCAGAGGCAAGGAAGGTTTGGCGCTGAGCAGGTTTTGGAGGATGCTGGCCTAATGCTTGTGGTGGCCCAGAGAGAGCGGAAGGGACTGATCTAGGGGCTGGGCCTGCTGGGATGGGGCAGGGCATTGAGGCACCTGCTCTGGAAGACACTGGGCTGATTAGAATGAATAACTAGTGTCCTGCAGGTGAATCTGTTCACTATGGGCTGTGCATCTGTCCAGGCACCATGGAGAGCTAGGGGGCAGAGCCAGCTACATAATTCGGGGGAGCCCAGTGCAAAATGAAAACGGAGGGCCCTTTGTTCAACAACTGTTAAGAATTTTAAGATGACAGCAGAGCATTAAACCAAGCATGCGGCCTTTCTAAGGGCAGGACCCTGTGGGACTGCACAGATCCTGTGCCCAGGAAGCCAGCTCTGCCAGGGAGGATAGGACCCCTCTCCTCCAGGTGTTGTTAGAAAAGGAGACAGGGCTTCAAGAAACATTTCAAATAGGGTGACACTGATCAGCAATGAGAATCACAACTGGCATTTACTAAGAGCTGTGCTCCAGGCTAAGTACTCTTCATATGTTGTTTAATATAGTGCTCTTAAGTTAATTCTCAGAGAGCAGATAAACTGAGACTTAGGGTAGCTAAATGCTCGTCCAACACCACACTACCTTTTGAGTCTCTATTAATGGCCCAGCAGAGACTCCAGAGCCTGCACTCTTTCCACTGCACCACACGCTTCCCAGGGCAGAGGGTGATGTACAGGCAGAGGCAGAATTGACTTGTGGGTGAAGGTGAAATCCAGGAAGACTTCCTGGAGGAGGCAGGACTTGAGTTGAAGGGTCAATGAGTGGAATATGGAGAGGTAGGGCTGAGTGCGGAGGGCTTTCTAGGGGAGACAAATGGCAGAAGCAAAAGTGTGGAGGCAGGAAAAGGCCTGGCAGGGAAGGGAGAGGGACCTACAGGAAGGAAAGTGAGCACTTGGGCTCTCCGTGGGCAGAGACTTCCTAACCTGGCTGGCCTTGGGCTGCTCCACCTCTTCAGGTCCTGGAGATCATTGAGCAGCAGCAGAAAGAGCCACGCAGACTTCCAGCCTCCAAAATGACCCACAAGGGAGAAGTCGAGATCCTGAGGGACGTGGACCAGACACTAACCCTGGAGGCTCTGGTGGTAAGTGGGAGCCTAACCTGGTTCTGGGCAGAGCCCATGCCCAGGGCTCCAGCTTCTCACCTCACTAGCTGTGTGGCCTTAGGCAAGTCACCTGACTACTCTGAGGCCCACCTTGTTCATGGCAAAACAGAGACAGTCCTTACCGGACAGGGTCCAGGTGTGTGGGGAGTGAGACGGAGCAGGTGGCACAGGCCCCTCCTTTTAGCCTAACCTCAAGGCACCCATGTGAGCAGTACTAGTTCCAGTCACCAAAGTCACCCCCGACCTCAGACGTTCTGCCTAGATCTTGGGCTGGGAAGCAGGGGCCACGCTGTTGCCGGCAGTGATCTTTTCAGTATGGAACAGAGATCTCCTCTATTCAGTGGATTTGTGTCCTGAGGGCTTCCTGAACTTTCCCTAGGACCTGGAAAGCCAGATCCCAGGTCTCCTCTGGTCACGGGGATGTGTTCCATCCTCACCTCCAGACTGCCCCTTCCTCCTTTACTCCTCCATCTGGCATGGAGCCTGTCATTGTGGCTTGACAGCCCTGGAATCAATTAACCCATCATCTCAGCCTCCTGTAGCCAATGAGAACCTTCCTAGGCTCACTGAGTCACACTCAGAAGAAGGCCACTGTGGCTGTGGTTAGGTGTTCCGGGTGTCAGATGTCCACCTGGGTCTAATCAGCTGTGTGTCCAGGAGAAGGGTGCAGGGCAGGCCCCTTGAACCATATTCATTCACTCAATGTACATTGAGCACCTACTGGGTGCCAGGCATAGTTCTAGGTACTGGGAAAATGGCAGTGAACATGACGGACAAAAATCCATGCTCCCCACTTGCCCTCCCAATATTCAGGCCAACAACCAGGAGAACCACTGCCTGCAGAGAGGGTGTGGTTGCTCCCCAAACCAAACCGTTCTGTATCCTCTGAATAAACTGAGCGTAAGTGGAGGGAGAGGGCCCAGGTGGACCTAGAGAGAAAGCCCCAGCCCAAGAGGGAGGAAGGGAGAGAGGAGATGGCAGAGTAGGGGAGGAGAAAATAACACTTCAGAGCAACTCTTACTCTTGACTGAACACCTACTATGTGCCCTTTTTACAAGCAGTGCCTCATTCAGGCCTTAGGTCACCTGTGGGTAGGTGCTATTACCACACCCATTTCTGTGATGAGGAGCCTGAAGCCATTGCCCAGGGTCACATAGTGTGGCGTTGGAGCTGCGATTTGAACCCAGGCTGGCTGACTCCAAAGCCTGAGCTTTGGCACTGCTCTGGAGGTGGTTTATAAGGCAAGAATAGAGTTTCAAAATCTTTAAGGCAATGTTTGTTTTATGTTTAAACGGCTTTCTATTATGAGGGATTTGGCGATGGACATCAGGAGTCTTAAAAATGTTCATCCTCCCTGATTCTGTCATCTGCTTCTGAGAACTTGTCTTAAGAAAATAGTTTAGGGCCGGCCCGGTGGTGCACTGCGCTAGTGCGCCACTTGGGAAGCGTGACGGCGCTCCTGCCGAGGGTTCAGATCCCACATACAGACCGGTTCCCGCTCACTAGCTGAGCGAGGCGCGGGGGCAACACCGGGGGGTGTGATCCCGTTGCCGGTCCCGGTCCGGTACGGGGGCGACACTGAGGGTTGCGAACCGTTGCCGGACACGGAAAAAGACAAAAAAGAAAAAAAAAAAAAGAAAATAGTTTAAAGTTTAGGAAAATACTTTCTGCACAAAGGTAGCTTCAGTGCTATTTATAACAGTGAAAACCTGGAAAAGACCCAAATGTATAGCAACAGAGGTGATGTGTACACTACAGTCCACCCCACCAGCGCAGTGTCTGTGGGGACTCTATAATGTGGCCAATGTCTCTGCTATAATTAATGGATAAAATGAGAATACAGAGTTGAACAGTCGATCCCAACTATTTTAGTGAAAGGACCCCCAAGCCCTGTATATATATAAATTATTATAAAGGAATAACCAGAATATCAACAATTGTCTCTGAGTAATGGGAGAAGGGTGATTTTTTTCTTTAATCTAAAATTTTTCTGTATCTTCCAAATTTTCTTTACAAGTTCATGGTATTTTTGTAATAAAAAATATGTTCTTGAGAAAAATTAAGTAAACCAAATTCCTGAGGCTCCCTACCCATCGAGGGCTCCTGACTTCCCCAGCCACCTTCCTAGTCTGCCCTCTCTCCTTCTCTGCCTCCCAGGGACCCATGGTGTCCCCAGACTGCAGCCCACTGGACCTGCCTGCCACATCAGAAGACACCACAGAGCAGCATGAGCACCACTTCCTAGACTCCAACTGCCACATCTGCACGGGTGGGAGGGACACCCAGCAGGGAGGTGCAAGGGTGGTGGGCAGGCTGGGCTGACTGTGGGGTTCAGCAGCAACAGGGACTTGTGGCCTGGGGAGAAGGTGGCAGAGTGGGGGTGTCTTTTCAGGTCACCTTGAAAAGAAACCTGGCTCTAAAGCCCTGGGTTGGTTTTGGCCTCAGTGCCCGCCCCTGTTTCAGCTCCTGTCTCTGCTATTTGCAGAGTGGAAGTCCTGGACGGAGCTGTCAGGCTCCTTAAAGGACACCAGGAGCAGAGAGGACAATGTCTTCCAGAGAGCCCCAAGCCCAGCTCCTGTGTTCTCTCCAGAGATGCCCAAAGCCAGGGAGATGCCTCCCACAGAGCCCCAGGACAGGTGCGGGGCTGGGGCAGGGCGGTTGGGCAACACAGCAGGGCTGGTAGGGGGAGGCCACCAGCTGAAGCAGCAGACACAGCATGGGCTTTTCTTTCTATATGGCTTTGGGCAAGTCTTCCCTCCTCTGTGAGCCTCAGTTTCCCCATCTGTGTAATGGCAATAATCATCTCAGTCTACTAGTGACCCTCTGCACCAGGCTGGGCAGTGGGGACCTTCTCTGAAAAGAAAGGAGGTACTGGGGGGATCCTGATGATCTGCTTTGCTTGGTCCTGTCTCTCTGTCCTTCCCTCCAGGCTCCAGATGCCTGCTGGACCCGCAAAGGCCCTGCCTAGTCAGCCACCCTGGGAGGGCACCCTGTACATGTTCTCCATCAAGCAGTTCCGGGTCAAGGCTCAGCTGGTCTCGGGACAGAGCTGTCGGCTCATCCAGGTTCTCCTGCTCTGCTCACCAGGGATTCCCTCACACACTGACCAGCCCAGTCAGCTGTTCACACTCTCATTCATTCATTCATTCATTCATTCACTCATTTACTCATTCTAGAACAAGTCATTGGCACCCTTCTTTGTACCTGGCCTTATGTGAGGCATGGGGGCAAGTGAGGTGCCAGCCCCAATCCTACAGACACCCACAGGGTGAATGACTCCCTGTAACCTGAGGCGTAAAACAGGAAGGGCCCAGGGAGGAGTCTGCTGCTTCTCCAGCCTAGAGGAGGGTTATAGGAGTGATTGTTGAGTGACTGAATGGTCAGCTAAAATGTTGGATGAGAGCGGGAGGTTAGAAGAGGGAGTGAGGGGCTTCAGAGAAGTTGTAGGAGACTGGCCAGGACAGGCCATAGGCCTCCAGGGACAATCAGAGCTTGCTGGACAGCCACTGAGGGTCCTGATATACTGCCTGCCCATCTCCTTCAGCCCTGGCTTCAGCCTTCCAGGTGGCTGAGAGTGAGCCCACACTAAGCAGGAGGGAAGCTGGGGGATGACTGACCGTCTTACTGCCCCCAGGCTCTGCCCGAGGTGATCCGCTCAGCAGGCTGCATTGCCCCCAACACTGTCTGGGACCTGCTGGCCAGCATCTGCCCAGCCGAGGCCAGGGTAACTGCACACTCTGGGCACCCTCTTTTCTCCTAGTCCCTAAGCCCCTCCCCTGAGCTCCCTCCCTCCGCCTCTGGAGCAGAGGCCTGGTTTGGGATATCTGGGTCTAGTTCCCAGTGTGATTGCAGACTCAGTATGTGATCCTGGGCAAGCCCGTCTGTTTCCTGCTCTGGGAAATGGGGACACACCTCCTCACAGGGTTTGAAGGTTGAGGTGAGCCCAGGGGTGTTCGTAGGAGCAGAGGATGATTGCTGCTCTTGCAACTGCAGGATGTCTGTGCAGTCAGACTATGCCCACACGGGCCTCGGGACACCCAGAACTGCCACCTGCTCTACTCCTACCTCAACAGCAAGCAGCGCCACGGCCTGGGAGCTGTGCAGCACATGGGTGTGGTCCTGCTGCCCCTGCCTGCCTTCCAGCCCCTGCCCACCAGACTGCGCCCTCTGGGGGGCCCAGGTGAGTGCCCCCATGCCCATGCCAGACCCTGCATCCCCTCATTTGGTGGCCAGACTGGGCGTTGTTGACACAATCACTGTGTCTCAGAGGAGGCAGGTGCATTTCAGAAGGGAATTCCTGACATGGGCAAACGCGATGACAAAAACAATAACAGCTCACACTTGGGTATCGCTTACTGTGTGCTGGCATTGTTCTAGAAGCTTAACCTAGATGAATTCTTTTGGTCTCAGAATAGCCCTATCAGAATGGTACTACCCGATTCTCCATCTCACAGTTGAGGAAACAGGTGTAGGGAGAAGGCAAGTGACTTGTCCAAAGTCAGTGGCAGAGTCAGGCTTCACACCCGGGCAGGGTGACTCTGGGACTCATAACCACTACACTACACAGCCTCTCCAGTTAGGCACCACTGAATAGAAACTTCAAGGATAGCCACATTTGACCCTGGTGCAGCAGAACAGAAGCAGGATCACAACTGACCGAAAGTGTCACCTAAGACAGGAGGGAGGGATGTTTCACAACAGCTATGCCAGGCCACCCTTGGCCTCTGTGCATGGATACTCTCCAGGGTGTGGCTCCAGGAAAGCACCTGGGGAGGGCATAGTAGGGGCTCAAGGGGTGGACTATACCTGTTTCTGAGCAAAGTGCTTAGCCTTTCTGGACTGCGTGTTCTGTGACAGTGAGGTGGACTTTGAATCCACCAATTCTTGAGGTCAAACGTCCATACCCTACCCTTGGCCAGATGAATCTTGATCATGCCAAGACCAAATCTTTTTTTTAAAAAAAAGATGACCGGTAAGGGGATCTTAACCCTTGACTTGGTGTTGTCAGCACCTCGCTCACCCAGTGAGCAAACCGGCCATCCCTATATGGGATCCAAACCTAAATCTTCTGAGACAGTCTCACCCTACCACCTGCTTTCCCCAGCATCTCATGGGAGCCCATCTCACTGTGGGAAGCTCTTCTTGGGATCTAACCTTCAGACCTGCTGTAGACAGAATGCAGCTTCTGGGGGCTCTGTGTTCTCCCCCAGCAGGCCTTTGGGATCTCCCTCCCTGCTTCCCTGCCTCTTTCCCCAGGTCTGGAAGCCACTCACTCAAGCCTGTTGCTGGCTGTGCTGCTCCCTAAGGAAGGACTTCCGGACACAGCAGGGTCCAGCTCTCTGTGGGGAAAGGTTCACAAGGTGGTCTCCTTCAACAGGAAAGTGGAGAAGAGATACTACCAGCCAGAGAACAGGAGGCCGGATGTGGCTCTGAAGGGCTCCCCTTCCCCAGGGCGTGCCCTGCAGCAGAGCCAGGGCAAGGACAGCCTGGCTCCAGGGGGAATTTGTGCTTGGCAGAGACTCCCCAGAGGCAGGGGGAGACTGTGGGCAGAGGCTGAAGCCTGGCGGGGTTCTGAGCAAGGGCAGTGGCCTCAAGAACCAGGCTGGTGCCAGTCCTGGCATCCCTATTCAGCAGCACCAGCTGTCCATGGTTTTGGCCGTGGCCAGCACCTCCATACGGCCTCCTGTCCCCACCAAGCCCTGCTCCAGCACCTTGAATCCCTGGTGACCATGAGTCATCAGCTCCAAGTCTCGCTCTTATCCCCTGGCCAGGAGATGCTTCCAGCACCCTCTGCGGCATCTGCCCAGCCCTCCCCAGTCCCTGGGATTCTTGGCCCCCTCTGCCAGCCCAGTGCAGCTCCAGAGCCCCCCGGCCCAGCCCCTGACACCTCCTTGGGCCCTACAGAGAGAGCTGACTCTTAGTGTCCCCTCCCTAGAGAGACCTGACCCTCTTCACCCACTAGAACAGGGGCTTTGATTCTCTCACCAGTGCTGAACCCTGAGGAGTTTCAGGGAGAGGCAGGGGTGGAGGAAGGGAAGGGTCAGCTCTACCCACTTGCCCCGTTTGAGTTTCCTGTTCTGCAGTCTGTTTGGTGTAGATTTTTTGTTCAATAAAGAATTTGGCAAAGTTGGAATTGCATCTGCTGGTTGGTCAGGAAAGACTCTGGTCCTGGCCAGGTGTGGGTTGGAGTGGGTGTGTCTGTGAATGTCTGTCCACAGATGTGCAGCCTCTCCAGTTGCTGGTCCGAGGTCCTGAACCACCACCGTGTCCCAGGGCACAGCTGTTGCCATGGCAGCTTCTGGGAGCATTTTGCAAGTATTCTGAACTAGGAGGAAGAAGAGGTGGTGGGAGAGAGGGCAGGACTGGGATGGGGAGAGAGAGAAATGGACAGAGGCTTTTGAAGGGGTACAGACACCTAGAGATAGCTAGGGAGAAAAAGGAGAGCAAGTTGCAGAGGTTTTTAAAATGTTCAGTTACCAAGATTTTTTCCTTCAGATAGATGGGGGAAGGCAGGAAGCACATACCTCCACCATATTCCCTATGTGGCTCTGTGTCTGTGTGCTTCTCTGAAGGTCTCTGTGTGTGCATGTGCCTGAGAGCATGTGTGCGTGTGTCCATGGGTGTGTGTCTGATTGCACATCTGTGTGTAGGTCTCTGCTGAGGAAGTTGGGAGATCCAGATAGGATGACTCCTCTCTCTACGTTTTGCCAGCTCCCAGATACTGGTATTGGAGAAAGTCGAGGGTCTTGGCCTTGAGGGTGGGCGTTCAGGAATGTGTTGGAGGCTGGTGTTAGGGTTTCCCGGGCCTGGAATGAGCTCCTAATAGCTGCTGTAATTGTAAAGCGTCTCAGTGTGGGTGACAGAACTGAGTCTGAGGACTGATCTGGGAACTAGCTGCCCCTAGCTAACCAAACCAGCATGGAGAAGGGGGCCTGGCTTGGAGGTGAGAACCTCTGCAGGATCCCACCTTTCGCCCCCTGGGCCTGGAGGGATGTACTCCTTGCCCACTCCTCGAAGTCTATCCAGGATGGGTGTCGCCTGGACCGTGCTGGACTGGGAAGGGTAGGGCGATGTTTGGCTGGGGGAGACCCTCTTCTCTGCCCCATGAGCTCTGCGGCTGCCCTACCCGCGGTAGACAGCAGAGGGAGCTCTCGGCCTTGGGATGGAGGTCGCGGCTGGCGGGACTGCAGGCTGAGCTGGGGGCTGGGTGAAGTGAGGGAACGGGGACGGGGGTGGGGTGCGGGTGGGAGGTAGGGAGAGGGGCTTGGACTGGTGAATGGGGGATGGGGCGGGACTTCTTCAGGAACTTTTCAGGCTCGGAGGGGCACGGGAGCTCCATAGCCTCAGTGCTATATGCAAATGACGCAATTGCTATGCAAACCAACAGCTCGATTCTGAGTCCGCAACTTGGGTGGTTTTCCTAATGCAGTTGGGGCGGGGGAGACGGCTGTGCACCCCCTCCCCCCAGGCCCAGGGCTTCCTCCCAGAGACGAGAGAGCATTTGCTTACTCCCGGGCCACGCTGAGAAAAACAAGCTCTGTCCTCTGTCATTTTGGAGCTTCAGTTTCCCCCTCTGTAAATGGGGGCGATGACACCTCTCTAAGACCTCACCCACGGAGAGGCCTATGGGTGGACCCCGAAATGCTGCAGACTGCTTCCAGGCGGGGGCTGGACAACATGACCCCCACCCACCTTTTGGCCCTTTGACTTTCTAGGCGGAGGTCGGGAGTGCGAGTAGGTACGACGTTACTAGGGGGCGTAGCCGGCGGTTGCTAGGCTCGAGGGACGTTGCTATGCAACACTGGGCGGGACTCGCGTTGCTAGGCCGGAGTAGGAGTCGCTCAGGACCCGAAAGGCCACCTTGCTCCCTCGGTTCTAGTGGAAGGCGCCTCAGGCCGGCGGGTATGGTGACGCTGCTGTCCCCGCGCCTTGCTCCGGGCCTCAGCTTCCCCCGGCTGGACGCGGTCTCTGAGGGTCGTCCCGGTTCACACCCTCTGCCACTCCGTGATCCTCGGGGCTGTGGAGCAGGGAACCCTGGGTCTTTGTGCACGTGTCTATGCGCCTGCTTGTGCGGGGGGAGAGGGTGGTGTCGCTTTTGGATTTCCATAGCAACCGCTCCTGTGTCACCCCATTGCTCCCAAAGGTTTGAGCGGTTGCCTGTACAAATTTACATATATCTGCATGTCATTAACATAGAGGCGGGCCCGGAACTTGTTTGGGCAACTCTCCCTGGACAGTTCCCTTTTTTTCTCATCCCATCTGATGGGCATGTGGGCTGCGCATGCGTAAGTGTTTTATTTATCAATGTTCCCAGATTTGGGGTGGGTGGGTGACCTGTAATAGTGACCACCGGTTCCTGGTCCTCACGTCCCCTTATTGAACCATTAGCATGAATCCATCCAGGTATCCCTGACCAAAGACACCCAGCTCCCCAAGCAGTGCCAGGCCTTGTTGGAACCCCAGTTCTGCCCTTTCCTGGCTGTGTGGCCCGAGGCAAGTTTAGTTCCCCTTTTTATTGCTCAGTTTCCCTTTCTGTAAGTAGGGATACTAATTCCTAACTCACCAGGTTATGTGAAGGTTAAATGGGATGCCACTTTTACACACACTTATTGCTGCTTCTGGCAGCAGTAGGCACTCAATATAGCTCCCTCCCTCCCTCCATGGAGCCCTGCTGCTCTCAGGACCCAACCAAAGCAAATCAACTTACTTTGCAGCTCAAGACATGGCAACTAGACACCGGGAATAATTTCCAGATGTCAGGGCAGACTGGATTCGAGGCACAGCATGACTATTGGTTTGCCCGTTTGTCCTTGGAGGCTGGAGGCCAGGTTGGTGAAGGAGCCCATCCACCCCCCCACCCCCCTGCCCCCATCCTTTTCTCTCTCAGGAATCTGTTTCCAGAAACCTTGCATTCCTGTCCCAAAGGTGCTGGAGCCTGAGGCAGCTGCAGCAGTGACAGCTGAGGTTGAGAGGCTTAAAGGCCAGAGCTGAGGAGGTGTGGCTGGGAAATTTCCCTCCAGGACTGAGATGTCTGGATGGAGCAGGGCTCCCAGGCAGGCCAAGAGCAGAAACTTTGCTTGGAGAGCCACATGTATGTGCTTTTACCAGAGAGGACTGGGGAACCCTGGGACTGCTCCCTTGCTCTTTCTGGGCCTCAGTTTCCCCATTGTGAACAATTGAGACTCCCTTGCTGTGACTGGGGGTGGGGTGGTAAGAAGTCAGCTCAGTACGAAGAACCTTCTCACTGCTGCAGCTGTGTAGCAGCGCTGTGGAGGGAGTAAGGTCTCTGTTTTTAGAGCTGTGTTTAGAGGATGAGAAAACCCTTGAGTGTGGCTGGAATGAAGCAGCAGATCCCATCCTAGAAGTTCTTGTTTTTGTTTAGATTGCAACTGCTCCAGATCGCCTCCTCAAAAACTAGGAAGTCCTTCCTGGGTCTAATTTCAGCCTTTCCTGCTCTGGCAGAAGCTCCTTGCCCTCCTTTCTCCCAGTGTCTCTGTAACCTTAATAGCCTTTACTGCTAGTGTCAGATGGAGGTAGAGGAGGTGTTAAAGGGGGAGAACCAGTTCCACTCTGTGTTGATTTCTTAGTTCTCAATTAGGTTCAAATAATTAAAATAAATGAGGTTGGCTCCTATCCTGGGTAGAAGAAAGTTGTTGGTGATGGACAGGGGTGGAGGAGCTGGGTTATGATTGGTCACTTGGCTTCCTGGAGGAGGTAGGACTGCATGGGGGCCATACCCTGCACTTGTCACTCTGACAGCTGTATGCAAGACTGCTGTCTGCCAGTGGATGGTAGTGGGCCAGCCACCTGTGCTCCACAGGTGAGGGTTTCAGGGACAGGCTGAGAGCTGGGCAGTGCCCGGCTGGCCCGCCTGTGTCCCACTCTGGAGGCCAATTAAGTTTCCATCCCTAGCCGTGCCGATTAACTGTTAATAAGGCCACAAACACCTGCAGCTACAGAGACGAATTAAGAGCAACAGTCGGCATAATACACAACCCGATAAGTGAGCAATTAACAACCAGAGAAAGATTAATAGAAGTAATTATGTCCTACTCAGAGCTCTGTAAATATGACTGTCAACAGCTGAGGGATTTGGTCCACTCCCATCTGGCCCCACCCCAGGCCACAAACTCTGCCAGCAGGGTGCCAGTCAAGCCAGCCTGTGCAGCCTGGACCACAGAGCCATCTATACATGGGACATACACAGATATGCAAATGGACACATAGCCATACGTATAAAGACACAGTCAGAGAGATGGCCCACAAAATGCAGTCACACAGATGCAAAAAAAACCCCCACTGTCACCCATACTCTCATTCAGACAGATGGGTACACACAGATACATACAGGTCCTTCCAGAAATACACACAGACATACACAGAAAAATACACAGTGTCACAAAGAAACACTTCCCTGTTTTCACAGAGCTAGAGCCACACAGACTACCAGACACCCAGCGATACATATACAAACTTAGACATGTAGACACACAGCTTTATACTCATAGGGTCACATATGCATGCGACATTTGCCCTCCTTTGATACCCACCTCGCAAAGGGTCATTCATAGTGGATGAGAGCTACAGCAGAGCATTGGACTGATGACTGGAGTGAGGGTGGGAAGGGACACATAAGGGACAGGATGTCTGTGAACATGTGTGCAAAGCATGTCTGCAAGCATGTGACTCTATGTGCATCCTTGAAAGAATGTGTTTTATCGATTTATAGGTATGTTCCTTGTGTAAACACACATGTGCCTGTGCATCTGTATGGTTGTATGAAGTGTGTGTAAATCATGATGTATACATGGATGTGTGTCTATGTGCTTGTGTCTGGTGGATCTGTGGCTGCACATGTGGGTGTCTGGTTCATGTGTAATGCTGGGCCAGTGTCCATGTCTGTGTAATTGTGTGACTGTACTTTGGAGTGCCTTTAAACATCTCTTGTGTCTGTGCTGGAGTAGGAGAGGGGAGTCTGTCCAGGATGCTTTCCTGAGGAGCCAGGGAGTTCTGATGGTATCTGAAACCAGAGTCCACTTCCTGGGAATGGGGCTCAAGGACAGTCAGAGATGCTCTAGGACTCCTTGGGCTGACTTGGTTTCTCTCACAGAGACTTCCGGCCACTCTAAAGCA